CTAGGAGCTGTGGTAATTCCAGCTCCATTAGCGAGTATTAAAGTTGCTGCATTTAGTAAGCTCATAGTTAGAGAAAAGAACAACAGTATGAGAGTGAAAAAGCTGCAGCAAGTTCTGTCACTCCTGATTGAGTTTGGGAGGCTTTCATTACAATGCACCACCTTTGTCAATTTGGAAAGGATAAGTTGTGACCTCCAAGTTGTTTCCATCCAAACTAAAGCTTAGTGCAGAAGATTTTTCAATCAGTCTATGGTTGTCAGAGATGTAGCTGAATCCACAAAAATGTATACAGTTTCTCAGAGGACTCATCAAAGTTTATCCTTTATATCACAGACTTTTTTTTTGAATACTCTCTTTGCTGAGTTTTAGTCTGTTTGTGTCGTGAGAATAAGTTTGTTTAAGTTCTAATCCTTAATTATAGATTAGTTACTAAACAATTTTGCGAATGATTGCTTGTTTATGATAAATAAATCTTTTTGAGTTCATTAAAGAATCCTGGTGAAAGTGTATTTAAAATAGTAGCATACAAGAAAATCAATTGTTGTCCAATTAAGTAATTGTTTTAACACCTTTATACTGAAGGTAAAGTTGCCATAGTCCTACTGGACCATAGAGCTGCTCTCTCATTAGTGAGAGATGACTGGTAGGGGTTTAACCTGACGGTTAGCACACCCCAGATGAGGGGAGAGGTTGAGAATGAGAGTCCTTCATGGTAACCTCAGTTGGTGTGGGAATTGAACCACACTATTGGCATCGTTCTGCATTTCACATCAGCTGTCCAGCTGGTAAATGACTCCCACATTTATATTAACACTGTGATTGTGTTGTAGTGGCATGATTAGCAGCACATCCCTCCCACCAGTTATTTTTTCTCTAAAAACATAATTAATTGAACAAATTTTGCCGCTATGATGGAGGGTAGGTTCTTGATGAAGTGGTTGAAGACGGTTGGGTCTAGGATGTGACCCTGAGGAACTCCTGCAGAGATGTCTTGGAGCTGAGATGACTGACCAAAAAAAAAATTGCAACCATTTTTAATTTTCCTGAGCATTCCACTGCTTAGTTTTTACTTAGAATCCCTACAGTGTGGAAACAGGCCCTTCGGCCCAACAAGTCCACATCAGACCTGAGCACCCCATCCAGACCCATCCTCCTATAACCCACCTAATCTACACATCCCTGAACATACTGTGGGCAATTTAGCATGGCTAATCCACCTAACCTGCACATCTTTGGACTGTGGGAGGAAACCAGAGCACCTGGTTACTTGACCTCCCAGAGGCCACATTCCAACAAATGGTGTTCTGATGTCAAGGATGGACTCTCGTGCCTCTGGAATTCAGTTTTTTTTTTGTCCATGGAATTCCAACAGTGCAGAAAAAGGCCATTTGGCCCATCAGGTCTGTACCAAACCTTTAAAGAGCATCCTACACAGATCCACCCCATCGCTGTAACCCTGCATTTACAATGACACCCAGCCTACACTTCCCTGGACGCTATGGGATAATTCACCATGGACAATCCACCTCATCTGCAGGTTGTCGTGGTTCATACAGCTCTACACCTTGTTATCTCACCTCATCTGCATATCTTTGGACTGTGGGAGGAAACTCTCACAGGCACAGGAAAAATGCACAAACTCCACACAGTCACCCAAGGCTGGAACCAAACCCAGGTCCCTATTACTGTGAGGCAGCAGTGCTGACCAATAAGCCAGCACATCTACAGCAAAGCTGAAGTGAGGCCTTGCAGGAGTCAAACAGAGCCCTGGTGAATGGGTTATTAATGAGTATAGATGCTTGATAGTACTGGCAATAATACCTTCCATCATTCTGTTGAAGATTGAGGATAGAGTAATGAAACAGTAGCCTGCTGAGTTAGCCTCATTCGCACAGTAGGCAGTGCATCAGTCTCATAACCTGGAAGATGTGAATTCAAGCTGCATATTGGCTGTTGCGTTCCTAAGGGAATAGAGGGATACAGATCCTGTACGTGAAGATAGTTTTAGTATGGAAAGGCAAAATATGTTGGCACAGGCTTGGGGGGACCGAATGGCCTGTTCCTGTGCTGTATTGTTCTTTGTTCTAGATTTGACCTGCTGTCAATGGACAGGACAGCCCTGGGCAATTTTCCACTTCCCATTTTACATGGTGCACAAATTCAGCTATGTACCTCTTGGTACTGTGCACTGAGCATCGAATGGCTTATTCCTAGGGAATGATATAGCAACCACTTTATCCCCAACACTGCCACGCTACACCCTGAAGAAATGTGAAACAGGAAATGCATGATTCAAAAAATTAACAGCAAACAAAAAATACAATTCTTTTTAATTGAAAATCAACAAATATGCAACCGGTACATACACACAATAACTCAAATGTAGTGTTGGCATTGCTGCATGTTATCAAATATATTTACATCAACTTGTCATAAACTGTACCATGCAGTCCCGTACAATACAACATGAGAAACTGCGTTTGCTACAGAGGAGAGTGATAACTCAGCCACTCCTGTTCCTCTGGTCAATTTCCGCCAAGTTGCGATACAAGTGGGAAACAGGGTTTTACTCAGATATTGAAGGCACAACAACTGATGGCTGTGGAGTCATCAAGTTAGCTTCTGTCAGTCTTTACTGGCAAAACGGTCAGGGCAATTAAGGATGGCAATAAATGCTGGCATGGTCAGTGATGCTCACAATCCAAGCCCGGCCAAACCTTTGTCCCAGTAAGAACAGTCCCCATTTAATTTGGCCCCCTTCAACTTAAGGCATTGATCCCTTAACTGCACAATTGGTCTGACATTTAGCGGAGCGTAGGGCACATGTAAGTTAAGAGGGGTCACACCCAGGCATTAACTGTGTGGTCTCAATGCTGCCACTTAGAGACAGACATGTGCCTGCAAACACAAGGGGCTTTCTCTAATGACAAGGTGCAGAGCTGGATGAACACAGCAGGCCAAACTGCATCATAGGAGCAGTAAGGCTGACGTTTCGGACCAAAGGGTCTAGGCCCGAAATGTCAGCCTTACTGCTCCTATGATGCTGCTTGGCCTGATGTGTTCATCCAGCCCTGCACCTTGTTGTCTCAGATTTTCCAGCATTTGCAGTTCCTACTATCTCTGATAGGGCCTTCTCTAATGTCTTCAAAGGGCACAGTCTAACACTGTCAGGTTAAAACATACACTGAGATTTTGGGACAAAAAAATATACAGACGTTTTATTTCAACTAATGGCAGGGCTGAATTTGAAGATTAATCCTTCCAGTGCCAAGTATCTAGCAATTTCATGTCATCCTATTCTTCAAATCAGTCAGGATTCCATGAAACCCATTTATTTTGTCTCTGAAAACACTGAAGAGGGATTAAACATTGTCAAGTATTGAGTGATGTGCATAAGGTCCTTCCAACAACGATACCTAGTCGAGACAGACCTCACACTACCCAACCTGAGTTTTACACAGCAAGTCATTTCTAGATCAATGCTCTGCTTGGGGGAGTTCTAAATGGG